TCTTCCTTCTTCGCCTTGTATATTCAAAGTTTGACTTGATCACGGCGGTTTGGCATTATCAAAACCTGTCATAAAAACAAACACGGCTTTAGTACGAAAACGTGACATGCCCGTGTTTCAACAGGTGAGCCAATCCATACCAAGGATAATGTCAAATTCCTTGTGTGGTAGCTCTATCAAATCTGCAGGGAATTGCTTCCCTTGCACGGACAACGGACACCTATGATAAATGTGATGAAGACGCATGCTATGTCCTAGCGGGTTCGATACAACGGTAGGTATCTCAAGGTCACTCCTCACGATCGCAGAATTAGCAGGTATGCCGACACAGATATAGGAGAGCGTGGAACCCGGATCGATCAAGGCATGCATAACCGAATCAAATAGTATGAACGTACCCAAGATTACATCGGGGTTAGGATCTGTGCGCCCCTGCATGGCGTAGGTACGCGCTGGTGCACGGCCTGACTGCTGCGGACGTGGTCTCTGCTGATTATTTGCGGCTGTAGATTGCTGACTCCGTGCTGGATGCGATGCGGCAGGCTGATCCGGAGCTCTAGGAAAAATAGGCTCGCTGCTAGGGTTTGTCGGGCAATGCCTCCTGAAATGCCCTGGCTGACCACAACCCAAACATAAGCCTTGGGCGAGCCAACACTCGCCTGGGTGATGCCTACCACACTGTACACACTACGGGTGGCTCCTCGTTCTCATCGCGTTGCTAGTGGTGGCCAACGGAGACGGCTTCGACTTACTCCTCTTAGGCGGCGGCGCACTTGAAGACCCCTTCTCGTACCTCTTTCCCCCGAATCCAAAACTCTTCCTGCTCGGCCCGGTGCTGGCCGCGGGTCGCGGGTCTTTCGTCGCTCGATCCTCCTTCTTGGTCGCATGCAAATCGTCCAAGCTCTTCTCCGTCTTCACAATCAAATCATACGCCGCATTAAAATATGTCGTCGTGATCAGCGCGGCGTATGACCTCAAGTCCGGCCGTAGCTTCTTGACGAACTCATCGCGCCTCTCCTTGCGGTACCGGGTGGGGACGTACTCCTTCGTGAAAGCTCGATCAAAGCGATCCCAGGTCCATGGCTTAGGCGTGTGTGGATCCTGGTCAATGCGCTTCCACCAATCATATGGTCCCTTCCGGAACATCTGTGACACCAACTCCGAGCGATCTACATCAGGGACTCTCAAATTCTTGAGTACTCGGTCCATCTGCTCAAGCCAATCCAACGCAATCTGGGGCTCCCCCATCTTGTCTCCGCGAAACTCTTCCGCTCCATTATCCTTCAATGTCTTGAAGGTAACGATGCGCGGCTGCGGCTGTGGTGGTGGCGGTGGCTGGAACATGGGCATAAGCTGCGCCATGTGCTGCATATAATGGGCCATCATGGCCGGGAACATATGTTCGTAGGCCACCTGCGGCATCACCAACGGTGGTATCACTGGAGGTGGTACGACTGGGGGTGGTACAACTGGTGGCTGTCCCGCTGGCTCAGGTTGATTCTGCTGCTGCCCTCCGTCACCCGGAGGCGTGAAACTCCAACCCTCGGTGTTCACCGTGTGCACGCTCATGTGCTCCGGCTCCGGAACGTACTGACCATGGGTCGATTCTTGACTCATTCTAAAATAATAAGGAAATTCCCAAGTCAGATCTTAACATATAACAGATAAAGCTATAAATACTTATTACCTTCCCGGGGCAGAGGAGTTACGTGAGATGCAGATGCGGCTGAATTATTCATTGTATTTTATTTTGAAAGGGTCCAAAGACCGATTTTAAAACCAAATGCTCTGATACCAAAATGTAACACCCCAACCCGCGTAACCCAAACCCGTGAGACAGCGGACCGGTGTGCCACTGGATTGGTATCCGAATATACAACATTTTCAAAACAATTTGAAACAAACATTCTATCAATACATATAAAAAAATCCGTCGGAGTAATTTAAAATAATGCAGAAGCCTTTTTTAAAATCAAACAACTTGGGATCTTGCCCGAAAATGTAATAAGCATTAAAGTTAATTAAATAAAGCATAACTATAGATTAAAGAGACAGCCACGCCATCGTACATCTCCTCCTCAATGCCCTCTGGGATCGGCTCTAGGTTCATCTGTCTGATCACCTACGGACAGCAAAAAGGAAAACAACGCTATCCGCTCAGCATTGACGCTGAGTGGAACTCCATTGTAGCACAAGAATAAACATAATAATTCAACAATTAAGATCGCGCATATGTTTATCCTTTTGATAAAAATCAATTCAACTTTAAATTCGGTTCTTTAGACGGCTGACAAACAGTCAACTTATTTCCTTTCTTTTCAAACGATTTAGGTGTTAAGGGTTTCTCATTAACTCTTTGACCACCGGTCAAACCAATTTAGACTTTCACGAAAGTCAAACCACTTAACATTTATTTCCTATGACGGAGATAGCCTCAATCCGTAATACCGAAGATAGCCTCAATTCGGTGGAGGTAGGATCCCTCGGGCGATAGCCTCAAACCCAAGATCACAGACCCTCGTGCGCACGTCTTAACCTCACTGACTAGGCCCTGCAGCCGCCCGAGCAATGGCCAGTTTCTATGTTCGACATAATAAACCAATTGACCTTAATTACCGATTAGAATTAATTAATTAACTTAACTAATTCATTAAAGTCTTGGATTTAACCATTCGGTCAAACCTTTGTCGACAGAATATCCAGTCAAAGCCTAAGTCAAACGTGACCTAACCCAAGTCAAAGTCAAACCTGCTCAGTCAATCCATAATCCTCAGCAATTCAATTCAAATAATCAATGTAATTCAATTAACCAATTTAGCCAAATTATAGCATAAACATATATAACGATCTAAACCATTAAATCTATTCTAAACGCTATTAACTTCATAGTACGGACCTGGATTACGCATAAATCGAATCGATAGCTCGAACGGAAGACAAATTAACGAAATCCAACGAACAACGGGTCAAAACACGAAATCGAACAATCAATCTGGCATGGAGATTAATCTGCCGGCGGTATCAACTCGGTTCAGCGGCTGGATGCGGCGACGGTGGCGGACGCCGGCGTACAGTGGCGGAGCGGCAGCTGTTGGCGGTCTATCTTGTTCAAAATCGAGGGGATAGAGACAAACCGGAATGGAAAACTGAAGAAGAAGAATGAGAAGAAGAAGAAGAAAAGACTGACCTGAGCTAAGGTCGACGACGGCTGGAGGCGACTGGCGGCGCTCGACGGTGATGAGCGGCGACTGACGGTGCTGCAACTCGACGGCGATGAGCGGCAACTAGCGGCGCTGCAACTCGACGGCGATGAGCGGCGGACTTCTGGCGAAGGAGAAGCAGCGGCGATTGGCGGTGACCCGCGTTCGGCGTGGCGGCGCTGCAACTCGACGGCGAGAACGACACCGGTAATGGAGGCGACGACCGCAGCTCGAGGATTGGGAACCGTGGTCGGCGGCGCTGATGTTGGCAGTGAGCGATTGACAGAGTTGGCTGGTGCGGCGAGGAGGCGGAGGTCTGGCTCGCGCGACGCCGGCGTGGTCGAACGGCAGGGGAGGATGAGACGCGTATGGTCTCCGTAAGAACACGCGTATGTATATAAAATTAGGGTTTTAAGTTTATTTAATGATCCCATTCCTAAAAGGATTGGGCTTCGGACCCAAAATACCTGATTAAATGGTCATAACATGAGCTCCATAACTCCGATTCGCGAGCCGTTTGAACCAACGCGATCACAAAAATATTTCCTACGAGATGACATAAAAGTTGGGCTTAGAATCCAAATTATAATTTTAACCCCTTTTTGGGCCCAATTCGTAATCAATTGCTCTAACAATTTAATTAATTCTTTTGGGCCAGATTTCGGGGCGTTACAGCAGGTGCAAGAATAAAGATGACTACCTATATGAGCATGAAGCTTAGCCGCTTCAAGAAGTAGAGACTTCGCTTCGATATGCTTATGAAGGATTAGGACACGAGGCTAGTAAATAATAGTGTCAAGTCAGAACATTAAAGTATGTAAACTTTTGTGTATATTATCTTCATGTATTCAAAATGAATAGCAAGGGTTCAATCCTTAGTGATACCCTGATATTCGAATATTTGAAATGTGTAATGTACTAAGATGAAATTCACTCGTCACGATATTTCATTTATGCATAAGTTTGTTGTTTGCTATGAATTTGTTTAGTTAATCAAGGACTACACTAAAATAGGGGAGGAATGTTATATATTTTAGTGTAATTGGAAAAACTATGACCAATAGTATCCTAATAATCATCAAAGAAGTTTGGTGGTGCGGAGTGCACGCTTTATTGAGTTTGTTACGATAAAAATCCCGTTACATCAGGGGTTCCAAGGGGGCAGCGCCCCCTTAGCGAGGGTTCGAGGGCAGCGCCCCCGAGCAGTGTTCAAGGGGCGGCAGCCCCTGCGGGTCCAAGGGGCAGAGCCATAAATGGGAGCGCATTAAGGCTGTCCAACGTAAAGTACAGTATCAACGAATGCAATTGCCTATAGATTGAACGAGGTATGCCTCTCAATCCATATCTCCGGAGGGAAAGGAGCTCCTAACAAGCTTTTCATTGATGGATTCAATGAGCGTATTGTGCTCCGTAACTGGATGTCGCAGTGGCTCAAATGGGTTCACTGGTACTATGATGTCCGAGAATGTAAATATCCAAGATTGTCTGAATGCAACAACATGGAAGAGATCAAAGAAAGACAAGAATCTCGTCCGTTTTGGTCATATGTGGAAATTGTGGCTGGGCTTGAAAATTTTATATTTTGGGCAAAGTGTTATGTTAAAAAATTCATTTGAATTTGTATTTTCGAATTTCCTTTAAAGGAAAAATTCGTTACGGATAGCGCTGATTTTCAAAGGAGTTTTGCGCGAAGAATTACGTGCTTTGGGTAATAGACGCGATGTTGTCTTCTCCTTCTCACCGCAAGTTTATAAATTCCCGCAAGCCATGGTCGGAATTTGGTTCGGAAATTTGACAACAATTCATACTCGTTCTTGATACCTTCGAGTTTTATGCGATTGAATTTTGGAGTGAACAACCAAAATATTCAATTTGAAAGTGTTATACACAACTCTCAATTCATCCAAGTTTCCATTAATTTCCCCAACATGTGGGACTTTGTCTCCCACTACACATCATAATAAGGGTCCTTTTGACATTTTGCAAATGTAAAAGGTTTATGCTTTATTCCCTTTAATTTATAAAATGCATTTTCTTCTCCTTTTGAGATAAGAGTTTCGGCCAAGAAGGGAAGAGGAAGAGGAAAAACATTTTGAGTTCCAAAATTATTATTTTGGTGTAGAAAATTGATAAAATATTTTCTTTAAAATATTATTGACACATTTTCTACTATTTAATATACAAGATTTATATTATCTGTAAAATAATCTTTATATTAAAATATACTATTATAATCTTTTCTAGCATAAAGATTATAGTAGACTTCGGAGATTGTTCGTGTGTCAAAGTTGGAGGCCGGACGCTTGAACGACTACGTTTGCTCATTCAACGCCTTTCGCTAATTCAACGCCATTACCGCTAACCGGAGAAGGTATAAGTTTCTATCTCTAGCTATAGTATTAGTACGTGTTCTTAGGCTAGTAATCACTTTTGAGAGTTTAATTTTTTGTATTTCCGCTGCCCTCCCAATCGTGGTTACAATGACTCAAACTTTTTTTAAAGTTGACTTGTTGTTCTTAACCTCGTTAAGAACATTAAACTCAGCCCAAATAATTTTCACCATAAAAGATTAGAAGAAAATGGTAAAAATTAAAAGAAATTGAAATTAAAAGAGTTGAAGATTTTGAAAATTAAAAATTACTCCGTAGAATACAGGTGGACAGAGCTTAATATTGAACGCGGCCACCTTTAAAAAATATGTTGGACTAGGCCATTATGTTTGTATAGATTATGCTATGTGTACCCCAAGATTGGTATCCCAATTTGTACCCCGCAGTTTTGCACCAACATTTTGTGTTGGTGTAAAACTAATTTTTGTTAAACGCACCAACATTTGTGTCCGTGTGAATTTTTATTAACGCACCAACACTTGTGTCGGTGTAAACCATCGAAATGTTTGTGCAAACCTGTGGTGTACAAATGGAGTATATTTGTTGGTGTAAGTGTAGCATGGTCCTGTTTGTATATGGTATATAACAAGGTCTGACAATAGTTCACGCGAAACCATGATATCATATATTCGTACCCATTAAAAAAAGGAAAATGCTAGGGTGCCACCACATGGGTGCTACCATGGGTGCACCCATGCTTCGCACAGACAAACACAGACGATAATTGTTTGTGTCGCACAGACAATTATCGTCTATGTTTGTCTGTGCGAAGCATGGATGCACCCATGGTAGCACCCATGTGGTGGCACCCTAGCATGGTCCTTAAAAAAAATTATTTCCGACTCATACCTATTTACTAATTTACCCAAAAGGTCTTGATGCCCTGTGTACTAGACATCCATGATGAAATTTGATAACTTTTGTACAATATATGAATATAATTTGTAAAAACAATTTCTACCACTACTATAAAAGAAAAATATCTAAATTTAATATAAACAATAACACGATTAGTAGGCCACTATGACAACATCTCATCAACAAACGAATTTCAAAATCTAGAAAATTGTAACATCTTTGAAATAGAAAACTATTTTTCCAAAATTTCTTACTGTGTAGTTGTTAATTGTGCCATTTATACTTTCTACAACTAGAGGAAGCTTGTTCTTTCGATTGGGTTTGGATTATATAGAATTATAACTAAAAAATTTATTATATTCTGTGTATATTAGTAAACAATACGCCTTAAATAGATCGAAAAAAGTTAAAAATACACGACCCTTTAATTTAATTAAATTACAGGTACGAATATGACTACTAGTAATCAAAAATTTTTATGAGTTAAATCCCACTTAAGAAGAAGATGGAGTTGGAACTTTATTTGGATTCGTTTCAAACTCGATCCATTTACATGAGTCATGACTAGGGATAACCAGCAAGAAAGCATTATTGTTACAAAAATTAGTTTATTGCACCATTATTCCCTGTGATTTGGTAAATATGCATGATTACCCTTCATAGTTTCAAAACTTACATCATTGCTGCTCATTGTTCTGATATTGCTAAGCCAATTCCTTATGGACAAAAATATCCTTCAAATATTAAGTGAACCCCCTATAGTTTTAGAAATGTGAACCAATGCCACCTCTCCTTCTTTATTGTTTTTCTTTTTTCTTTTATTTTTTTTCATAAATAGAAGAAATATGTTTGTCTTTGAAACAATCAAATGTTGTTTGTCAAAAGTCAAAACTATATCTCTAAAAAAAATTTAGAAAATAAAAAATATTTTCTTTTGAAATAAAAATCAAATAAAAAATTTAGCATAAACTGCATTTGTCAATTAAAATAAGTTAATTTTTTGTATAAATGTTTTATTTTTATTTTTTTTGAATATGTTGAGACAAAAACAATAGTCAGTAAGGTCTTTTTAATATATAGTTAATTATATAATAATAATATTTTTTGGACCGATGTGCAAAAGTTTTTGTTCATGACTTAACTTTCCTTAATCTATAAAAGTATTTTTTCATATACTTTTCTTTATCTCTGTTTACTTTTCTATTCTTTTTTCTTTTATTTTAATTTTGATTAAAATAAAAGAAATAGTGTAAAATATTTTTTTTAAATGAAAAAGGGAAAAATAAAAAATAAAGAAATTATAAAATGAATAGTAAATGAGAATTGAGCTTTAGTGTAAAAAGAGAATGTTTCATTAAATTTTGTATCATGAAAAAGAATCACTGAACAGTTCTTTTGGACAAAAAATAAAAAATTTTGAATTTAAGACAAATGAAGTCTACTTCAATTCTTTTTATTTAGTTGATTTTTTATTGCACACAGTTTTTTTATTAAATCATTATTAAAAATAATTTTTAAAAATAAATAAAAAATATTTATGAAAAACATAGAAGAAAACAATAAAGAAACATGAGAGAAGGCGTTGGTACCCATTTCTAAAACGCATTAAGTGCATCATACTTATGAGCTAGAAAGAGTGTCCATGTAAACCTCGAATAGTCATCAACGATAACAAAGCCAAAGTAATTACCTCTTAAACTCATAGTTCTTGAAGGTCCAAAATGGTCCATGTGCAAAAGTTGTAATGGCCTAGTCGTAGAAACAACGTTCTTTGACTTAAACGAGGCCCTTACTTGCTTCCCCTTTTGACATGCATCACAAATTAGATTCTTCTGAAACTTATGTTTAGGAAAACCAATTACTAAGTCTTTAGAAACCAACTTATTAAGATGGTCCATATTAGCGTGAGCTATCCGACGATGCCATAGCCACGCTTCTTCCTCTTTGGTAATGAGGCACTTGGCTAAGATAGACGGGGAATTTTCAAGATCAAACATGTAAATGTTATCTATTCTACTACCACAAAGAATAGTCTTATTGTCACACAAGCGTTCTACAATGCATTTACTAGAATGAAAAAATGACACGGTTACCTCTATTGCACAATTGGCTAATGCTAAGAAGATTGTGCTTGAGGCCCTCAACAAGAAGAACGTTCTCAACGGTTGTAGCATTGTCTCTTCCGACGGTGCCACTTCCAATGATCCTTCTTTTGTTGTTGTCACCAAAAACGACATCGCCACCTTTGAAATATTCTAAACTCCTAAATTTGGATGCATCTCCGGTCATGTGCTTGGAGCATCCGCTATCGAGATACCAAGAGGTACTCGAAGCCTTCAAGCACACCTACAAAATGATATCAAGGAGACGGTTTAGGTACCCATGTATTGTTGGGTCGTTTTTGGTTAGCATATGTGCGATGTGTGTGTGTGTTTGTTGAAAATGCCTAAGTTTGGTGAAGCACACGGGTGCAATGTGACCTATCTTATTACAATAATGCCAAATGACATTTGGATTATTCATCCTATATGGTTGAGTGTAATGAGTTCTAGGTTTGCTAGGATGTTCTCTTCTAGTTTGATTATTTTTCCTAGCATTTTTATTCCCCCTAACTTTAACAAATGTTGTTTTTCTAGGTGGGTTTTTCTTATATCCAAGTCCTTCACCATTACTATGTTTTTGCTTAAGTATTTTATCTAAGGTGTTTGAAGCATTATTAAACTTTCCCAATTTGCTTTCTAATTAGCAACCTTAGATTTTAGTGATGTACAACTAGAGCATGTAGAAGAAGAAGTAGATGAAGGTTCTTGTGGCCTTTTTCCAAAAGAGATAATTTCTTGTTTAAGTTTGTCATTTATATTTTTGAGTTCTTTGACATCATTCTCAAAAATCAGGATTTTTTTGTTTAACTTCAATATTTTCTTTGGAAGCCTTTTTGAGCATTCCTACAAGTTCTTCTACAATGCAAACAACATCATTAAGAGTTAAAGGATCATTGGGAGAAGGTTCTTGATCACTTACCTCTTTTGATGTTTCACCATCCTCAATGGCCATGAGACACAAGTTGGCTACTTCCTCCGTTTCCAAGTCTTCACTCCCGAAGCCGTCGTTCTCCCAAGAAATGTAGGCACGTTGCTTCTTCGGTGCCCTCTTGTCCTTCTCGTTCTTGAGCTTCGGACACATTGGTTTAATGTGTCCAATTTCACCACACCCATAGCACTTAGGTGGAGTGTTCTTCTTGCCTCCCTTCTTGAGCATCATCTTCTTGAATTTTCGGACGAAGAGTCCGAGGTCGGTGTCGTTGCTGTCATCATCTTCATCATCAACGTTGTTGTGGGTTGATGTTGTTGCGGGTAGAGCAATAGACCTCTTGCTCCTCTCTTCAACCACCTTTGAGAGTTGGGTGGTTTCATAGGTAGTGAGATTACCTCGGAGAGCATCATAGTACCTCGAAGAGCATCATAGGTCGTTTTTTGGAAGTCACGACCTTCTTCAATTGCGTTTACCTTTGAATGCCATTTTGGGGATAAGCTTCGTAGAACCTTTCTCACGAGTTCTCGGTCGGTGTATGTCTTCCCGTGAAGATTGAAAGTATTAATGATGTTAGAGAACCTCTCAAACATTTCCTCAATCTTCTCGTTTTCCTTCATTGAGAAGAGTTCGTACTCGTGAGTGAGGTGGTCGATTTTGGCCTCCTGAACCTGCACGGTTCCTTCGTAGGTGACCTCCAATTTTTCCCACATTTGTTTTGCAGTTTCACACCGCGAGATTTGTGGTAGTCATCTGCATTAACACCACAATAAATCATATTTATTGCCTTTGCATTGAGCTCCATCTTTTTGCAATCTTAATCGGTGAACTCCTCTTCGGTTTTGGGGACGTTGACCTCACCGACTTTCTTCATCGGGACTCTGCAGCCGTTCTTCACAATCAACCACAACTTGTAGTTGTTGGATTGGATAAAGATTCTCATCCTCTCCTTCCAGTATGAGTAGTTTGTTCCATCGAACAAAGGTGGCCTTGTGGTTGATTGTCCCTTGGTTACTCCTGCGTTGAACATCCTTGATGCCATTTGATCTTTTAGTTCCTGAAAAAAATAACATATTTGGAGAACTTCCTGCTCTGATACCAATTGTTAGACAAATGTGCAACTCTAGAGGGGGGGTGAATAGAGTTGTTTTCAAGAATGTCGTTTTTCGCGTGTGTGAAATAAAAATCGTAGGAATAAATTAAAAGAGTAAGGGAAAGAAGAACACCGAGATTTATACTGGTTCACCACCTCGTGGCTAGTCCATTCCTCCAAGAGACTCTCTTGAATGTCCTACTAATCTTCAAGCTTCAACGGGTGCTTGAAAAATCGGTACAACTTGAGAACTTGAATCACACAAGCCTCACTTTCTTGCAACACCAAGACTTGAGTCACACAAGTCTTAAGAACAACACTCAAACAAGATTGAGTTTACAACACAAGGATGAAAGCTCACACAATTGAGCAAGTAGTGTTTGAAAGATTAAAGCTCTATGGATGATAATATCTATAGCACTCAATGAAAATATTTCTAACTTTCAAAAATAATATTTGATGAGGAAGATGGAAGAAAGAAATGAATATAGCTCAATGAAGATATTAGAGTGCAAGAGTTGTGTTATGAAATGAAGGAGAATCAGGAATTAAATAGGCTAAGGATAAAAGAACCGTTGGAGCCACTAAACGATACTGAGAATTGGCACCAGACAATATTAATCGATTAAGGTAAAGCCTTTAATCGATTAAAGGGTACAGAGGCGAAAAGGTCTTCTGTGCAGGGTGCAAATTAATCGATTAATTTTTACAAAATAATCGATTAGATGTCGCTGTCTCAACTAATCGATTAAATGTAGAATAAAAAATCGATTAAACTAAAAGCCTGAGAAATACAACGATAAGGAGCTGGATCTAATCAATTAAATAGAGACTGTTAATCGATTATATAGAGAATAATGCGCAAAAACACAAAGGGCCCAAGGCCAGTTGCGACTGAAAGACATCGGCTTCATACTTGTTGTTTGAGACAACGGGAATAACAAGGACGCTCCTCAAATAATAACCTTTATTCAATGAATTTTGAATAGGGGAGAAAAAGTGAGTCCAAAAATTATTTTGTGTGTCAAACGATGTACACGAAAAATATTTAAAGTATATTTTTCTTACCACAAAAAAATTGTGTATCCTTAAAAAGTATTTTAAGAAATTTTGACACACTATTTTGAAACTGACTCAATAAAATATTTTTAGACAGAGAAAAAATAATTTTTCAACTGACTCAGAAAATAATAATTTTTTATCTCTCAAAAATAATTTGTTTATGCAAAAATTTTTGTCATCCTTACAAAAATTTATAGACTCAATAAAAAAGAAAAAAGTCTTCGGAGTCTTCACCTCACTTCAAAAATATGTGTAGGGGTAAGCATTGATTCTTATCACCGTAAATATCTTGATACGCCTCTTTGCTTTTCGTGATACGAAAAATAAATTTTCGATCATTGTTTGAATTTAATCATCTTGTTTGTCATTCATCAAAACAAAAATATTCCAGAAAAATAATAAAGGGGTTTGAACTCATGTCCAACACAAAAGGTCTTGATGCCTGGACTCATTAGGTCTCGATAAAGGGACATCCATGATGAAATTTGATAACTTTTGTACAATATATGAATATAATTTGTAAAAACAATTTCTACCACTACTATAAAAGAAAAATATCTAAATTTAATATAAACAATAACACGATTAGTAGGCCACTATGACAACATCTCATCAACAAAAGAATTTCAAAATCTAGAAAATTGTAACATCTTTGAAATAGAGTAAATTGTATAATTGGTCTTTTATAAGAGGGGGTTTCCCTATTTAGTCCTCTATTATTAAATATTATCGCAGTGGTCCTTCTTTTATGGGTACCTTTCCAGAAATAGTCTTTTTTTTGATCTTCTATCATGTTTGTGTTAATTTGAAGGCTAAAAGTGTAATTTCACAATGATAATATATCTTTTTTGTCATATACAATTCCATAGGCTGTTCCATTTGCGTCGTTTGTGAATTACATTCGCTTTTTACGACAACTATAGTCTACAAATGTGATCTTTCGTCAGAACCTAGCCCACAATCATAGTCATTATTTTTGTGTTATCTGCTTAAACAATATCAGAACACGTCACTAGACATAATGTTGATGTCAAATTATACTTTAGCCTTTAAATTAATACCAACACGGTAGAAGATCAAAAAAAGGACCATTTGTAGAAAGATACTCTTAAAAAAAGGACTACGAGGGTAATATTTGATAACACCCCTATTATAAAGGACCAATTATGAAATTTACTCTTTGAAATATAAAACTATTTTTCCAAAATTTCTTATTGTGTAGTTGTTAATTGTGCCATTTATACTTTCTACAACTAAAGGAAACTTGTTCTTTTAATTGGGTTTGAATTATATAGAATTATAACTAAAAAATTTATTATATTCTGTGTATATTAGTAAACAATACGCCTTAAATAGATCGAAAAAAGTTAAAAATACACGACCCTTTAATTTAATTAAATTATAGGTACGAATATGACTACTAGTAATCAAAATTTTTTATGAGTTAAATCCCACTTAAGAAGATGATGGAGTTGGAACTTTATTTGGATTCGTTTTAAACTCGATCCATATACATGAGTCATGACTAGGGATAACCAGCAAGAAAGCATTATTGTTTCAAAAATGAGTTTATTGCACCATTATTCCCTGTGATTTGGTAAATATGCATGATTACCCTTTATAGTTTCAAAACTTACATCATTGCTGCTCATTATTCTGATATTGCTACGCCAATTCCCTATGGACAAAAATATCCTTCAAATATTAAGTGAATAGCTCCGCTACCTCCTATAGTTTTAGAAATGTGAACCAATGCCACCTCTCCTTCTTTATTGTGTTCTTTTTCCTTTTATTTCTTTTCATAAATAGAAGAAAAATGTTTGTCTTTGAAACAATCAAATGTTGTTTTTCAAAAGTCAAAACTATATCTCTAAAAAAGTTTTAGAAAATAAAAAATATTTTCTATAGAAATAAAAATGAAATAAAAAATTTAGCATAAACTTCATTTGTCAATTAAAATAAGTTAATTTTTTGTCTAAATTTTTTATTTTTATTTTTTTGAATATGTTGAGACCAAATCAATAGTCGGTAAGGTCTTTTTAATATATATTTAATTATATAATAATAATATTTTTTGGACCGATGCGCAAAAGTTTTTGTTCATGACTTAACTTTCCTTAATTTATAAAAGTATTTTTTCATATACTTTTCTTTATCTTTGTTTACTTCTCTATTCTTTTTTTTTCTATTTTAATTTTGATTAAAATAAAAGAAATAGTGTAAAATAAATTTTTTTAAAAATGAAAAAGGGGAAAAAAATAAAGAAATTATATAATGAATAGTAAATGAGAATTGAGCTTTAGTATAAAAAGAGAATGTTTCATTGAATTCTGTATCATGAAAATGAATTACTGAACAGTTCTTTTGGACAAAAAATAAAATTTTTTAATTTAAGACAAATGAAGTCTACTTCAATTCTTTTTATCTAGTTGATTTTTTATTGCACACAATTTTTTTATTAAATCATTATTAAAAATAATTTTTAAAAATAAATAAAAAATATTTATGAAAAACATAGAAGAAAAAAGAAGAAAACAATAAAGAAACAAGGGGGAGGGGTTGGTACCCATTTCTTAAACCTTAAAAGGCAATGAAGCTATTCACTTAGAGGGTGTATTCATTAAGATTTTATTAGATTTTTTTAAATTTCAAAAAGTTAGTAGATTTGATAAATTTGTAAAATCCATGTAGAGTTTGATTGATTTTTTGTAGAATCCATGTAGAATTTCAACAATTTACAGAATCCATAGAGACTCCAAACATTCTGTTCACTTGTGAAGGGACGGAAGAGATTATGTCCCAACTTTTCTCAAGCTTTCCACTGCCGATGAAGTTAATACTATGTATGTAAATTGTTTGGATTATGCTATGTGTACTCCAAGATTTGTACCCTAATTTGTATCCCGCAGTTTTGCACCAACATTTTGTGTTGGTGTAAAACTAATTTTTGTTAAACGCACCAACATTTGTGTCCGTGTGAATTTTTATTAACGCACCAACACTTGTGTCGGTGTAAACCATCGAAATGTTTGTGCAAACCCGTGGTGTACAAATGGGGTATATTTGTTGGTGTAAGTGTAGCATGGTCCAAATTGTTTGAACCATGCTACAATTACACCAAAAAATGTACCCCACTTGTACACCACAGCTTTGCACAGACATTTTGATGATTTACACTGACATAAGTGTTGGTGTTAACAAAAATGTACACAGACACAAATGTTGGTGCGTTAACAAAAAATTAGTTTTACACCAACACAAATTGTTGGTGCAAACCTGCGGGATACAATTTGGGGTATAAATATTGGGGTACACATAGCTTAATCCAAATTGATTTACCATCAAATTAGTTGAATTTTTTTTCAACAGGAGTGACGATAGTCGGCAGACACTCCTCTCCCTGCAGGAGTGACATCAAATTAGTTGAATGTTTTAGAGCACTGGTAATGGGTTTGAAGACCCGGGGCTTCAAACCTTCTCTCTGCCACGTCAGTTTTAACTTACACACAAAAATCACTGGAAATGGGTTTGAAGCCCCGGAGCTTCAAACTGGAGCTTCAAACCTTCATTTTTTACATTTTTAAATAAACATCTTCTAAAATTAAATTAATAATTTATTATTTAATTAAATTGTTCAACGAATAATAAAAAATACATTAATTTAAAAAAACGACAATATTTTTAAAAAATAGATACATTAATAAAAAAAACTAAGGTAAATTATATTTCTCCTTGATCTCTCTCATTCTTTGCTCGTAAATCATTAGTCCAAACTCCGACCACGTCCCGGGGTCGGTTTGCATGACTTTCATCTCGGCCTCCTACTCCTTTATCTTCAACTCCTTCTCCTTTAGCTTCAACCTCTCTTGTTCCTGGAGATTGAACGCCCGAAGTTGTTCAACCATTGCCCGGCCGATTTCGTCGCGGGGAGAAGCGGAAACAGAGGCGGACCCTCCCGAACCAGAGGCAATGGATTTTGCCTTCTTTCTTCCGATTGGCCATGGAATGGGGTCCTCGTCATCGAAATCCGCAACGTTGAAGGGAGGGATTTGACCGGTAGAACCGATGGTCTCGTCGACCTCAACCTCGGCGTCGACGGTGGATCTTTTTCGGAACGATCCGCCGTCGGGATTGTAGAGTTGTTGCCACTTCGGGGAACGATTCAAAATCCTCCAAAGATCGATGGGCACCTTGCCTTGGTTCCCGTCGTCTTGATACCGGGTCGTGGCAAGCCGGAGAACATCGGCGTCGTTCGTCCCGCTCCTCCGGGACCAGGAGCATTCCTCGTAAACTCCGATAAACTTTCGGACTTTACGATTGATGTGGCTCCATTTGGAAGTGAGTTGGTCCCGGGTTCGGTAGGAGCCGTCCTTCTTCATCACCGTGAAAAACTTCTCCTCGATACGATCCCACATCGCATCCTTCGTTTGCTCCGTACCTTTGAAAATGTATTACACAATTTTTTTAGACACCATTAAATATAATATATAAAAATAAAAACATAAATATATTAGAAAAAAGAAATTTTTTACCAATGATAGGATGCTCGGAGACGTCAACCCAAGCCGACACCAATATGCACTCCTCCTCCGGCGTCCACTTTTGGATTGACCGTGCAGCCTCAGTCAACGTGCTTTTGGCTTTATGGCTTTTCCGGTGTGTACTTTTGTTCAATCCGGACAGTTCCGGTTGAGTCTCCAGAACCGATTCTCGGTTGACGTACCCCGACTGTTGCGTCTCGTAGATCGGCGGTCGATCGCCCCGCTCTTGGAACAACCACATCGCGATGTCACTCGGCGGGAGATTGTCGGGAAAGTAGCCGGAGCCGGAAGGATTCATGTTGAATAGAGAGGGGGTAATTTCGAAATTTAAAATTTGGGAAGAAGAAGAGATTGAAGATGGAGAAGATGTGAGAGATTGGGAGGGGGATTTGAATTTATAAGATTTTTTTTTTGAAATGGGGTGCAACGGCTATAAAGCCGTTAGGGAGGGGGAGGGGAATGGAATGACGCCGCGTCATTCCTTTGACGCAGGGAGATCACGCCCGGAGTGTTAGACGCCTTGCACACCTCTAGAGGGGGGTGAATAGAGGTATTGCCCAAAAGACCAGTTTTTTTCGCGGAAACGTTCTTCACGAATATTCAATAAAATCAATGTACCACAAACAAAATAAAGTGAAGGATAAGAGCAATGCACACACGATATATACTGGTTCGGCCTAAATGCCTACATCCAGTCCCCGAAGCAATCGTGCCCAGGCCTTCACTAACTCGTCAAACTTAACGGAGTTTGACAATCCGAATACAACTCGAGAACTTGATTTCACAAGCCTCTTATCTTACCACCAAAGTTTTGATTTCACAAAATTTAGGATTTCTTCCCCCTAACGTTTGATTTCACAAACCGTTAGGATTTCTACCACTTGGTGTAATCCCAACACCAAGAATACAAATCCCTTATAATAAAGTAAGAAAACAAACCGCAACCGAGTAATTCACCCAACACGGAGTAGATTGTTGCAAATACAATGAAGCCCTTTAGAATATGACAATATCTCTCAAAGACTCAAGCAATGAGGAAAAACTCAAGTAAGAAATGATTTAGCAATCAAAACAATTGCTTTACTTGGATATAAGGAGGGGATTGAGTAGAATCTCTTTAAATATTCAAAGGATATATTTTTCAAAGTGTTCTAAGTGTTCTTATGAAGAAAATCACGAAAGTAGGAGGTTTATAGAAGTTAGGGAGTGGATAGGGATGAAAAGCATTCAAAAAACTAGCCGTTTGGTAGTTGAAACTGTCGAACTATTCGACTAAGTCAAGACTTAGTCGACTAGTTTTGGTGAAACTGCAATCTGACTTATTCAACTAGTTCTGGATTTATTCAACTAAGTCAGAATAGAATTTCAGGGATTTAGTCGAATAGTTTTCAATTTATTCGAATAGTTTGCTGAAAAAAATGTGTTTTAAAGGTAGGACGATAAGGGAATGAACCTTAGAGATGCCATACTCTTTAACACAAAATCTAAGACCTATAACACTACCCAACTAAGGAAACAACCTCTTTGGTCTCGTTCCTTCCACCGATACTCAAGTCCCTTCTTCACGGACGGATATGAACTTGTTGTAGCTTTGATTCCTAGCCTTGATGCACAAAATGATGATGATGTTTTGTCACCCTTTTGTCATTATCAAAACCTAAAAGACAATGGGCAAA